GTGGGTGGATCACGACGTCAGGAATTCAAGACCAGCCTGGCCAAGATGGTGAAACCCCGTCTCTAATAAAAATACAAAAATTAGCCAGGCATGGTGGCAGGCGCCTATAATCCCAGCTCTGAAGCAGAGAATTTCTTGAACCCGGGAGGCGGAGGTTGTGGTGAGCCGAGATCACGCCACTGCATTCCAGCCTGGGCGACAGAGCGAGACGAGACTCTGTCTCAAAAAAAAAAAAAAAGTCTGATTTATAGGCTGTATGTGGTGGCTCACACCTGCAATCCCAGCACTTTGGGAGGCTGAGGCAGGTGTGTCACTTGAGGCCAGGAGCTCCAGATCAGCCTGACCAACATGGTGAAACCCCACCTCTACTACAAATAGAAAAATCAGCCAGGTGTGGTGGCACACACCTGTAGTCCCAGCTACTAGGGAGGCTGAGGTGGGAGGATCCCTTGAGCCTGGGAGGCAGAGGTTGTTGCAGTGAGCCGAGATGGTGCACTCAGCCTGGGCAACGGAGCGAGATTCTATCTCAAAAACAAAATAAAAAGTTGAAATTATAAAAAAGCTTTAAAAAAGGATTTGATTGAAGAGCGCGGTTACCGGACAGGCTGGGTCTATGGTCGCTCCGTGGGCCGCTCTGCCGGCTGGTGCTTTTTTATCAGGGCAAGCTGAGTTCCATGGTAGGGAACTTTTGGCAGAGCTCCCACTATTTGCAATGGATTTTGGATAAACAAGATCTGTTGGAGGAGCGCCAAAAGGATTTAAAGTTTCTCTCGGAAGAAGAATATTGGAAGTTACAAATATTTTTTACAAATGTTATCCAAGCATTAGGTGAACATCGTAAATTAAGACAAGTTATTGCCGCTGCTATGGTGTATTGCAAGAGATTCTATGCCAGGTATTCTCTGAAAAGTGTAGATCCTGTATTAATGGCTCCTACATGTGTGTTTTTGGCATCCAAAGTAGAGGAATTTGGAGTAGTTTCAAATACAAGATTGACTGCTGCTGCTACTTCCGTATTAAAAACTAGATTTTCATATGCCTTTCCAGAGGAATTTCCTTATAGGGAGAATCATATATTAGAATGTGAATTCTATGTGTTAGAACTAATGGATCGTTGCTTGATAGTGCATCATCCTAATAGACCTTTGCTCCAGTGTGTGCAGGACATGGGCCAAGAAGACATGTTGCTTCCCCTTGCATGGAGGATAGTGAATGATACCTACAGAACGGATCTTTGCCTACTGTATCCTCCTTTCGTGATAGCTTTAGCTTACCTACATGTAGACTGTATTGTACAGCAGAAAGATGCCAGGCAATGGTTTGCTGTGGATACGGAGAAGATTTTGGAAATAATCGGGGTTATTTTAAAACTATATGAGCAGTGGAAGAATTTCGATGAAAGAAAAGAGATGGCAACTATACTTAGTTAGATGCCAAAACCAAAACCACCTCCAAACAGTGAAGGAGAGCAGGGTCCAGATGGAAGCCAGAACTCTAGCTACAGCCCATCTTAAAACAGTCCGAAGAATTCCGTAGGGGACTGCTTGGAAATAAACCATTGGACAGATTTCAGTAAAGTCTTCAGTGGAACACAAATGAAAATGAATAGCTTGTCTCTGTCAAGCATATTGGAAAGTGATTTTATATTTGCAAAATAAGTTTTTCTTTATCTAATATGATTCCTTTTTTTTTTTTTTTTTTTTTTTTTTTTTTTTTGTGAGACGGAGTTTCCCTCTTGTTACCCAGGCTGGAGTGCAATGGGGCGACCTCAGCTCACCGCAATCTCTGCCCCCTGGGTTCAGGCAATTCTCCTGCCTCAGCCTCCCGAGTAGCTGGGATTACAGGCACGCGCCACCATGCCCAGCTAATTTTTTGTATTTTTAGTAGAGACGGGGTTTCACCATGTTGACCAGGATGGTCTCGATCTCTTGACCTTGTGATCCACCCGCCTCGGCCTCCCTCTTTTTTTTTTTTTTTTTTTTTTTTTTTTTTTTTTTTTTTTGAGACGGAGTTTCACTCTTGTTACCCAGGCTGGAGTGCAATGGCGCGATCTCGGCTCACCGCAACCTCCGCCTCCTGGGTTCAGGCAATTCTCCTGCCTCAGCCTCCTGAGTAGCTGGGATTACAGGCACGCACCACCATGCCCAGCTAATTTTTTGTATTTTTAGTAGAGACGGGGTTTCACCATGTTGACCAGGATGGTCTCGATCTCTTGACCTCGTGATCCACCCGCCTCGGCCTCCCAAAGTGCTAGGATTACAGGCTTGAGCCACCGCACCCGGCCTTCTAATATGATTCTAGTACATAATCGATTACAATCTCTTGATTATAAATGTTTGGAAAGGTTCTAAGGGGACCTACAGACAGACATACATAGACATTTCGAAATTAATAGCTTTTGATTAGTATAGTGTTTCTTAATTTGGATAATAGAAATTGTAGCTTTTAATTAAGCCAGGAAACATGAAGCATAATTTGTTTAAAATTCTCTTTGGTCCTTGAGGGACCAAAAAAGGACGTAAAATTTGCAGTCAGTATATGAGGGCTTTTTTCCCCTCCGTTAAGTTTAACTTTAAAATTGTATTTAAGGAATCAAATCTTGGGCCGGGGGCGGTGGCTCAAGCCTGTAATCCCAGCACTTTGGGAGGCCGAGGCGGGCGGATCACAAGGTCAAGAGATCGAGACCATCCTGGTCAACATGGTGAAACCCCATCTCTACTAAAAACACAAAAAATTAGCTGGGCATGGTGGCGCGTGCCTGTCATCCCAGCTACTTGGGAGGCTGAGGCAGGAGAATCGCCTGAACCCAGGAGGCGGAGGTTGCGGTGAGTCGAGATCGCGCCATTGCACTCCAGCCTGGGTAACAAGAGCGAAACTCCGTCTTAAAAAAAAAAAAAGGGATCAAATCTTACAAAATCCTGGAAGATTTTGGTAACGATGTTGATAATTTCAGGGAAATTAATCAAGTACCTCTATTGATTTAAAAGTGTATTTTATTCAATAGTTTGGGGATCTTGCCATGGAAGATACAGGCCCAGCCTAGCAGAAAAGAGCAATATTATAGCATACTTTGACATTTTAAAAGCTGTATTCCATAACCATTTTGAAATGCTGGGCAAAATAAGTTATTTATAATGAATTCACAGCTAATCCGGCATTTTGAAAGCTTAATTGGATTAAAAGACCATAATGTCGGAACTTCCTAAAATTTTAATGTTGATTTTTACTGTGAAAAGTTTTGGCCGGGCGCGGTGGCTCAAGCCTGTAATCCCAGCACTTTGGGAGGCCGAGGCGGGTGGACCACAAGGTCAAGAGATCGAGACCATCCTGGTCAACATGGTGAAACCCCATCTCTACTAAAAATACAAAAAAATAGCTGGGCATGGTGGTGCGTGCCTGTAATCCCAGCTACTCAGGAGGCTGAGGCAGGAGAATTGCCTGAACCCAGGAGGCGGAGGTTGCGGTGAGCCGAGATCGCGCCATTGCACTCCAGCCTGGGTAACAAGAGCGAAACTCCGTCTCAAAAAAAAAAAAAAAAAAAAAAAAAAAAGAAAAGTTTTTTATAAGATAAACACACCCTAGTTTAATTTAGTGTCTTGATGTGGATTTACAAATTTGCGACAGGTATTCTGAGCCAGGAACACGATCAGGTTTCAGGCCAGTTTGATACCGGCTGTCCTTAATTCTAATACGAGAGTAGGACATCATACTAAATGTTATGTCAGTGGGACATACTGTCAGTGGGACGTACTGTCTGTGGAACTTGGCAAATTAATATTTTCTTCAGACTTGAATTCAGGAGAGTGACAAATAAAATTTGGAGTCATAGGATATGGATGTACAATTGAAGGATTAAACATTTTTAATCAATTGTGGACAATGGCTTATTAAATGTTGACTTCCTAGTATAAAACTGCAAGAATAAAAGTAAGTTCTCCAGCTTAAAAGAAAAAAAAAAGGAAAGTCACTACAAAATGTGTAGCATAAGGGGTCTTAAACGGTGTAACTATGTGGGTGATTGGACAGAAAAAGAGAGTAATTAACTATACTTTTTTATACGTGGGATAACTTGCTTCAAGTTGTTTGAAAAACTTTTTTGTGTGTTTTTTGGTGAGACAGTCTTGCTCCGTCACCCAGGCTGGAGCGCAGTGGAGCCATCCTAGCTCACTGCAACAACCTCTCCCTCCTGGGTTCAAGCGATTCTCCTGCCTCAGCCTCCTGAGTAGTTGGGATTACCGGTGCGTGCACCACGACGCCCAGCTAATTTTGTGTTTTTATTAGAGGCGGGGTTTCACTCTGTTGGTCAGGCTGGTGTCGAACTCCAGACCTCCAACGATCCACCCGCCTCGGCCTCCCAAAATGCTGGGATTATAGGCGTGAGCCACCGCGCCCGGCCTCAAAAACCCTTCAGTGATTCGCCTTCAGAGTTTGGTGTTTCTGCTGAGAGAATACACGGCCCTGCGCGCGACGACCGGTTGCCTGGAATCCCAGCACTTTGGGAGGCTGGGGTGGATCACCTGAGCCCGGGAATTCCAGACAAGCTTTGGCGACAAAGCGAGAGCCCATCTCTACAAAAAAACTTTAAAGATTAGCCGGACATGGTGGTGGCGTGTGCCTGTAGTCCCAGCTACTTGGAGGGCTGAGGCCGGAGGTGGAGGCCGTCGCTGGGGTGGGGAGGTCCAGGCTGCAGTAAGCCCACATCGCGCCACTGCACTCCAGCCTGGGCGACAGAGTGAGACTCTGCCTCAAAAAAAGCCATTACAAATACAAATACAAATAAAGCTACACATTCACTTCTGCGTGGACTCGAGCGTTCAAGACGGGCGTGGCAACCCGATGACAGGAAACCCTGCACGTGCGTGCTCCCAGCTGGCTCCACCAGCCGCGGGAAGCTGCAACCTTGTTCCTCATCGGGCAACGGCTGAGCCTGCGGCTCCACGAGCGTGGACCGTTCCCTGGCCGTGAGCGGGAAGAATACGGGCCCCGCCCCAAGGACTGGGATGGATCTCGCGAGCGGGAGGCGGAGGACAGCGCGTTGCTCCGCGGGGATAAAGCTCCGCAGTGACGGACTCGATGAGTCCCAGAGCCGAGCGCTGGCTGCGCGGCACCGCGGGAGGGAGGGGGCGTGCCTACAGCTGGCCCGCCGGAGGGAGGGGCCGGGGCCGGCGCTGGCGACAGGAACCCGCGCAAGCGCAGAATGCCCACGGCCGCGCCCTCCCGCGCGCACCACGGCGACACCCGGGCGACCCTCGGAGAGGGCACGGACGTCGCGCCGCGCTCCCGGGGCGCTTCAGTTGCGCCCACGGCCAACGCACCGGCACCGGCCGACAGGTGCCACGGCCTCTGGACGTTTCTCGCGCCTTCTCGGGAATGGAACGCTTAGAGAAGCACAGGTCCACACCGAAAACACCAGGCGGCAGTGCTCCGTGTGCACGGCTGGAAGGTCTCGCGCGACTCTGCGGCCAGCGTCCCGGCCCTCGCCCCCTGGACGCCTGGGAGCCAAGAGAGGGACGCGCCCCGCCCCTCAGAGCCGCAGCGGCGCGCACGCGACGCAGTGGCGCCCATTGGGCAGCAGGGGAGTCCGTCAAGGGCGAGGGGCGGGAATTCCGTTCAATCTGAGTATGGTCATTGGCGACGACAGGCGAAGAGGAGGCCGGATAGGCGGGCGGGGCGGAGCTTCCCGTGGGCGCCTCTGGAGGCTGAGAGGAGCGACGGAAGCGGAGGCGGGGAGCGAGGCAGCTTTGGGCTCCGGCGGGCGGAGGCGAGGGAGCTCCCGCCCCGCCCCGCCCCGCCCCTCTGCCGCCTCGGCCCCGCCTTCGGCGCCTGCGGATCCTCGGGCGGGCCCTGCGGGGCGGGCAGGCGCCGAGTCCCTTTTCGGCGCAGGCCGGTGGTCGCTGTCCTCCCCCGGGGACTTGGCGGACAGGCGTCCCCCGAGGTCAGGGCCCGGGATGCCCCGTGAGCCGCTCTCGCCTGGGCGCCGCCGGGGGGCCGCCCCGCCCTTCCCACTTCACTGTGCTCCGAAAGCGCCTCGGGGCGCGCCTGGGGGGTCGTGGGGAAGCAGGGCCGACCCCACCCGCCCACCGGGCAGCGTCCAGGGAGAGGTGGGCAGAGCGGGCCCAGTCAGGCGTCCTGGGGGAGGTGGCGTCTGGCGGTGTCTGTGCACCATGCCGCGGGTGGCGCGCGGTGGGGTAACAGAGTCTTCCCCGTCCCTTGACAGCCGTGGCCGCCGGGGAGGGAATCCTGCTCTGCTGCGGGCGGCCGTGGCCAGCGCTGGGGCGCTTCCCGCCAGACTGGCTCCTCGGGGAGGCAGGGAAGGCGAGCCCCGCAGAGAAGGCGGTGGCTTCCCTGGACGGAGCCATCCCTCCCGCCGGTCTTCCCGCGGGAGGGTTCCTGGGAACACCCGCAGAGCTGGTTCCGGCACCCATGGGACCGCGGGGCCCCGCCCAGGGTTTCCGGGAAAGCCCCGCGTTTCCCGCCACCCTTCCCGCGCCAGGAGCGTTCCCAGCCGCTGGCGATGCTGCCCAGGCGGCTCCCCCCAGCGCCACCACCCACCCGAGAGCGGGCCGCTGGGTTGGCCCGTCTGCTTTGGTTCCTCTTTGCTGGGCTCCGAGGCCTGGCGTGACTTCCGGTCTCCGCGGCGGCTCTGGGGACCCTGCTGGGTGTCTTTGCCCCGAGGGATTGCATCCGGGCGGAGAAGGCACTTCCCTCCCTCTCGCTTCCTCTTCTCCGCCCCCTTTGGCTCCCTTGTCCTTGCACTCTGCCTTGTCCACTCGTGTGTCCGGCTCTCTGTGTGTGTGACCGGCGCGAGCCCTTAGTCACCTCTCGCGACTATTTTTTCCCCATGTTATCACTTGTCTCTTGACTGTGGTTTGCGGCTTGTGCTTGGTCAGACAGGGGATTTTAGATTTCGTGTCATCTGAGGCTCCAGGCTTTCCTGACGGCTTCTGGGGGCTCTTGTCCGTTTGCTTCCTTCTGGCTCACACCGTGTCTTGCCCCCTGGATGCCGGGCACCAGTTCCGACTGCTGGGTAACAGGTGACCCCACGTTTTGGTCCTTCCCCACCTGGTGCTCCTCATCCCCCAGGGTTCTGAGGGACCGGCTCTGGGAGGGCTCTCTCTCGGGGAGCCAGGGACTATGGCCCAGGGTCCCTCTCAGGCTGCGGTGAAGGTGTCCACTGGGACCCAGCCATCCTATCTGACTGAGTGAAGAGGCTGTGGCAGGAGGCCTCAGTTCCTCCCCACCGGGCCTCCCCACGGGGCTGCTGGGCTTCTCGCAGACCTGCAATCCAATCGAACCAGCAGGAGAGGGCGCCCCAGACCCGGCCACAGTCTGTGTATGACCTGGTATCCTAAGGGCCTCGCCTCACCTCCTCTCTCCTCTGTGTTTTTCAGTGGTCTCACGGGTCCACCCTGGAGCGTGCTGGGGAGGGCGCCATGCTCAGGGTGGAGGCTGTTCCTGCGTGCTGCGAGTCAGAAGCGCCCCGAGGTGCTTTCGGAGCACGTGGACACCTGTGTCAGCTGCTGGAGGCCCCGAGAGGGAGGGCCGCCTCAAGAAGCGGCAGGCCACCTCCTGGGGCTGACACTGGCCGGGGGCCTGCATTTCTGAGGGCGGAGCGTGCTTTGACATCCTGAAAGATTTGCAACACCCATCACAGAGAACCCCAAGAAGGGAGACTCTGCCACAGAGACCCCGTGTGCCCCACAGGGTCTGCGCCGTGTGCTCTCTGGCCCTTCATGGAAGTCCTTCCCAGCCCCGGTCCGGGAGTCCCGATCCTACATCCCCAGGAGCCAGCGGGAGGCCCGTTCTGGTCACCACAGCCCCTTCACGGTGTGAGTGCCCCACGCCAGCCTGGGTGGCAGGATGTGCCCTCCCCCACCAGGGGCTCATTCCTGACCCCGCCCTCTCTCTGCCCCAGGTGGGGCAACCTAACCTCGCTCTGCAGGCAGAGGAGGCCTCTCCTTCCCCCATGCAGCCCTGAAGGGGAGGGGCTGGGGCAGGGAGGGGTGTGCTGTGTTGCCATGGTGAAGGCAGAGCGGCTCCTTTTTTCCGTGACATGACGTGTAGGGTTGCTGGATCCTGGGCTGGGGGCTGGGGGGTGGGGGCAGTCCCTGGCCTGGGGGGTGGGATGTGGAGGGCCAGGTGGGTTCCGGAAGGGGCCCCGGGAGGACCTTGGCATCTCGTTTCCCTGGAGACGTGCCCCATCCTTCCCCCTGGGACTGGCAGGTGACTTCCTGATGACGCTCTCTCTCTCGCTCGCTGGCTCTCTCGCTCTCTTGCTCTCCCGGCGGCAGCGGCGGCTCTGAATTGAATTTGTCACCGAGGTTCTGTGGGCGGCGAGTGCCTTTCCTGTTGGCCGCCATCGCCTCTGGGCAATACGGGGGCCCTTGGTGACAGCTCCTCCTGGCCCCTTCCAAAGCCGCCCGGCTCTCCTTGAACTGGAGGAGAGCAGGTTGCCGGGCCTTCCCTGAAGAATGTGTTCCTGGCAGGTGGGGACAGCCCCTCCCCCAGGGTGTTGGGTAGAGGGTCCTGGGGTACCTTAGGACACGGTCAGGCCCCCTGAACCCCCACGCTCCTGGGCCATCTGCCTGCTGGCTGTCCTCTGTAACCCCGTTCTCCCCTGAACTGAGGCTCCGGCCTGGTGCCCCGGGAAAGAACAGCGAGGAGGGCCGACTCTCCCTGCTGTGGGGGCCTTGGGGGCCTGGACGGGGACTGCGTTCTCCCTCCCCTGGCTGCCCAGCGCCCTCGCTCAGGGAATGCTCTTCCAGCAGCCTATTTCACAGATGGGCACGGTCACGACAGCAGCCAGACCCTGCCCCGGCCCGTGCACCCACCTGGACGGATCGGCGCCCTCCTGGACTTACTGGCTCCCTTGAGGGTCCCAAAGGAGCTGCCCCCGAGCACCCTGGGGGACTCCGGACCCCTCAGGCCGTGGCAGCTACCTGAGGTCCTACCCAGGCAGGACCCAGGGGCCTCTGGGTGCAGAGCTGCCGCTGCCTGGCTCGTGAGCCCAGGGCTTCTCCAGCTGTCCCCTGTCGGGGGGGGCCTCCACTCCTGCTCTGGATCAAGGTCCTGCCCCCAGGGAGAGCTGGTGCCTTCGGGGACCGGGCCCTGGTTGCAGTTGGAGAGTGGGCCCAGGGACTGTGCTCCTCTTGGCTGCTGCCCTGCCTCCTGGGGGCCTCCCCAGACCCCCGGCTGCTGTCAGCTGGGGCTGGGGGTCCTCTGGCCTAGGGGATGTCCCGGTTTGGGAGTGCCCTGCCCTGGACACTGTGTCCGAGGAGGATACATGCTTGCCCTTTGTTGGGGTCCAGGCACAGAGTGAGGGGCACTCGGCCCTACCACCTGTGTCTCTGAAAGCCCTGGCTGGGTATGGCGCCTCTTCGGAGAGATCCTGCCTCGGGCCTGCCCCCTGCCCCATCCCCCCGCCCCACGAAGCTTGGGGCCCTGGTCGGTCACCTCCTGGCCACCACCTGCTGCTGTCCTAGCCTCAGCTGGGCCCTGCAAGCTGTCCGTGTGCCGGGGACACCCAGCCCCTCTGTGGGTGTTTGCAAACACCCCCACAGTGATGTCTGGGGGCCTCTCTGGGCCTTTGTGTGCCGAGTTGGGGGTGGGTGGTGGCGGGGGTCTTCCCATAGTCACCTGCTTCCTGTCCTCCTCAGCCCCAGGTCAGGGGGTACCCTGTCTGCTTGGTTTCCAGCCTCAGCCCCTCCCTGTGCTGGGCCAGTCCCCTAAGCTTCCCGGGCAGATTCCCAGGTCCGCCCGGAGGAGCCCGGAGCCCTGGAGTGGAGCCCAGGCCTCCCTGTGCTGGGGACCGCACTGGAACCCCGAGGGACTCCTGGCCAGGGTTCCCAACAGTGTCTGAGTGCTGGACTCAGTCCCTGGCCATAGATTTCAGGGAGCCCCACTCTGAGGGGCTGTTGCTTCCCTTTCGTCTCCAGGCCCCCTCCCAGTTTCCTGGGAGAGCGGGGATGGGGCTGTCAGGAGGCAGAAGGGAAGGTTGGGGTGCCAGGGGTGTGGCTGGGGCGAGGGAAGGTCAGCTGGGCTACCCCCCTCCCTGCCCTCCTTGGACTCAGTCCAAACACATTCTCCAGATTGGGGGCCTGTGCACCCTTCATGTCCTAGTAGCCTGGCGGGTCCTCCTGGGTCTTCCTCGGTGTGGCTGGGTCCACAGGCCATAAGCCCCAGCAGGGTGGGGGCCTGTGCTCCTGTTTTTGCTCCTACTTGCCCGGCCTCCCCAGGGAGGCCAGGACCATGCTGATCTCTTTCCCTGCTGCCTGCCTGCCTCCAGCTCACTGCCCAGCGAGGACTGTGGCCTCCTGCCAGGGCCGGCCCCAGGAGCCTGGATCCCCCCAGTTTATCTTCCACCCTTGCTGCCCCACATGTGTCCCTGCAGCCTGGGTATCATCCGGAAGGTTGGGGGATGGGCACCCCTGGTTCCCCTAGCCCAGCCCCAGGGCGGTTCTCCCAGTGGCCCTGCCAGGCATGGACTTGGGAGAGGATGCGATGGAACCGCCACAGGAAGCTGGCAGGAGACTCCGGGTGCCTCGGGGCAAGAGGGGGCGCCCCAAAGGTTCAGAGTCCTGGGCACACCGTGCGCTGAGCCGACGACAGGTCAGGGCCTCAGGGGCACCTGTCGTCCTCCCCACTGGCACTGGATCTTTCTGGGCCTGGCTCTGCTGCCTCCCACCCCCGTTCAGCTGGTGGCTTCTAGAGGCTTCCAGAGCGTGCTTGGCCCCTTTGCCTCTATGCCGTTGGGCCCAGTGGGAGCAGTAGAGTGGCCAGGGCTGGGGGTGGGACTAACCCTTTCTGTATCTTGCTTGCTCGTGTCTCCCAGTGAGTGGATGCATGCCCTGAGCCTGGGGCCAGCAGCCCAGCCCCAGTCGGAAATAAATGCGATTCTGCCTGAACTGCTGCTGTCTTTTCTACTCTGCCCCCTCATCAGGGATCAAGGAGGGCACACAGGGTGCTGAGCTCTCAGGAGGCCTGGGGTTGACATGTGTGATGGCTGCAGGCTATGGCCTGGTCCTCTCCTTCCCCTCACTCATGTGCCTGACCTTGGGCTGTGTGCTCTGAGATCATGGGAACCCCTAGGGCTTTGTGTGAGATGCTGTGGAGCTGAGGGAGGACCCGGTATGAAAGCTAAGCCTTGCCCCCGAGAGCCTTGGCTCCTGGCCGTTGTCTGCAGATGTCTGGGATGGTGGTATCCTTGTCATGGGTTTGATCGAGGGCCAAAGCCACCTGCAGCCCTTGGCCCAGGGAGCAGGCAGCTCTGGGGCTGCAGTGAGGATGTCAAAACAGCATGTAGGCGCACCAGGGGCCAGGATGGCTTGGGATGTGTTTGGGGGCAGTCTTCACAGTCAGAGACACATAGGTTGGTATGGGAGTCCATGGCAGGGGCACAGTTGAGGGGTGTTCAGCAGGGGGCCCAGAGCATCTGGGATTGGCACCTTGAATACATCTGCCCACTGCCACCTGTTCACCGAGGGGCCCTGAGACCCAGAGCCTGGAGAGAGGGCCTCATCCCAGGCCATCGTTTTGGGGAGTGATGGCATGTTCAAGTTATCTGGCAGATGGCCAGGGCCTGCTGTGATTTTCAGGACTGCTTAAAGGGGCCTTGATTATCTGGCCACCTCTACCATGGAGCCTTCCTTGACACCACCCTACCCAGTAATGGACTCTCCTGCCCAGCTCTTTGCCTCCTTATAGCCTGGGCTCCACTGCAGGTTGCCACATGTCCCTCTCCTCACATTAGCTTGAACCCAGGGAGGCAGAGAGGAAGCAAGTATAGATGGAGCCTTCTGGAGTCAGGGTAGGGTGAAGCAGGAGCCCCTGGGCCATAGGGCAGCAGGAGCGGGCCTCCTGGAGGGAGGTGACTTGTGCTTGGCCAACACTTTGATCTGCCCATTGGTACCCGTCAGGTTGGGCTTGACTGGTCCCCGCCCCCCACACAAAGCTACAGCTACCCACAGGAGAACAGAAGCAAAACTTTATTCCTCTTGGCTGGAGACGAGAGAACTAGTGGGTGGTGGTGCACAGGACCCCCATTCCTCACCCCCTCCCAGAGCCAAAGAAGACAAGCAGCGCCACCAAATGGCTCCCTCTGCCCAACTGAAAGCCGAGAGGTCAGCGGCTGGCTGGGGGAGGCAGGTGAGCGCAGCATGGTGCAGGGCAGGGGTGGCTGCAGTGATGGGCAGGCGACCAGAGTAGCCCAGGGGCTGGGGCAGAGGGGAGGAGGACAGGGCTGCTTGGGTAGTGGGACAGGCTCGGGGGCTGCTGGATGGCATGGGCCCCAGGTTCAGGGCACCACAACGCGGTAGGGGCTGCCTGGGATGTGCTCGTCACCCCACTTGACCACCAGCGTGTACTCCCCCTTGTCCTTGAGCAGGTAGGAGACACTGTAGAGCCGGCTGCCCACGTGCTTCACCAGGATCTCCTCACAGGGGGTCCTCGGGCCATGAACCCCCACCAGCAGCATGTTGTTGCCTGAAGCAAGAGGGGCCCTCAGTCACGGGTCCCAGCCCCCTTTTTTCCACTGGGACTGCACCAACCCCTCCTCCCGCTGCTGTCCTCCCTCCTCTCCTCTCCTGTCCCTAGCCAGTTCTGGGGTGACAGTTCTCTCTTCCTAAAGAGCTGCCAGCACCTCCGCCACCCAGGCTGGCTTAGCAGATTCCAGTTCCTCCCCAGCCTTTGTTTGAGGGGTCCAGGAGGTGGCTCTAGAAGTGACAGCCATGCCCCAAAGATGGTCCCTGCTCCCCCAGATGCCATCCTGTGATTTCTGGCCTTGTGTTGCTGGGAGGCTGGGCTGAGGGCCCGGGTTACACACCTGCTTTGCTGCAGTCCACCGTGAAGCTGCTTTTCTGGCCTGTGTAGGCCTTGCTCAGCCCCAAGCCCTTGGCCACCACCTTGCTGGCATCAGCAGGTCCAGGAGCCGGGGCCCCATGCTGGGGGGCGCAAGTGGCCTTGGTCAGGGAGTCTACAAACACTGACGATGTCTCATGGAGGCTGTGGTTACTGACGAGACGGGGGCCTGCAGGACAGAGTGGGTAGGGCTAAGAGGTGGCTGCAGTGCCAGGCATTGGGCAGGTGCCAACAGCTTGGCCCCAGGCTCACCTGTAACTTTGGCCTTGAAGGGGCTGCCCCCAATGTGGTAGGGGCCGCCATACTTGATGGAGATGAGGTAGCTGCCAGGTGCCATGGGGGTATAGGTGACACGGTAGCCCTCAGGGCACTCCTGGCAATCCATCTTCACCTTGGAGGGGCCGTCAATGGTCACCGAGAGGGCACCAGCTCCCGCATTGCTTGTGTTCACGATGAACTCCGCTGGGCTCCCTGGGAGCACAGGAGGTCAGGCAGAGCCAGACTGGCCTGCCTCCCTGTCCCTGGCCACCCTGCACAGGCTTGTCATCTCCAGATGCCTCCTGTTATCGCCCAGAGCTTGGAGGCTGGGTCCACAGACTCACCTGTGACACCACCTTCCAGGCCTGCTCCATAGGCAGACACCAAGCCCGGGTCCCCTCCATGCCCAGGCTCCCCAACTCGGATCTTGAAGGGGCTTCCAGGGATGTGGGTGCCGTTGAACTTGACGTCAATCAGGTAAACGCCATTCTCCCGAGGGATAAAGCGCACAGCATACTTATCTGAGGAGCAGAGAGCCATGCTGTGGGCCTGGGGCCCCTCCTCAAACCAGCAAATGGTATCTGTGAGGAACAGCCTCAACCCTCATCCTTGCCGTTTTGCCGGCCCATCAGTGAGCCCAGCAGCTGAGTGGGGCCCACTGTTTCTTCTGGTGCCATGCTGGGCACCTGCACCCTGCAGCAGACTTCCTGAGGCCCGAAGCTTGAGACACTCAAGTCACCCACTGTCAGGGATCATTGGGACAGAAACCTTATACAAGCCACACCCAGGCCTTGCTGCCTCCTAAGAAAGGTTACAGTGAATACCATATTCCCTGTGTGTTAACGGGCTCAGAGACAGGCAGGAACTTGCTTCAGGTCACGCAGCTGGGAAGGGCAGGACTAGGCTGTGAAAGAAAGCCCACTGGGCTCCTCCTAACCCCGAGGTTGCCCCGGGCCTGTCCACAAGTCCCATGGTTGCGGCTAAAGGGCCGGGCAGCACTGAGGCTGGACTCTGGGTCTCTGCCTGTGGAGAGAGTACTGCAGGCAGGAGGCCTTCCTAATGGCCATGGCTGACAAGCCACATCCCCAAGGGCTTGGGTCACCAATTGGGAAAGGGTGGCCCGGCAGAGGGAGCCCAGGTGTCGGGGCCCCGTCTTGGCTGCTTACAGAAGCGGTACGTTCCTTTTGTACTCTCAGCCTGCTTCCAGCCAGCAGGGCAGGGTGGCCGGGCAGGGACAGGGGCTCACCTTGGTCAATTTCTGTGACATAGCACTCCTCCAGGGCTCCTGAGGGGCTGTGCACCTTGGCATCGATCACCCCCTTGGCCCCATTCAGGCTGACTGCAAAAGAGGCTGGCTGGTTGACCTTTAGCCCTGACTCCTGGAAGCACAGCAGACATGGTTAGATGGGGGGCTTGGGCCAGGGCAAGAGAGGAAGGAAGGGCCCCAGGAGCGAGAGACCCGAGGTCACACTTACCCATCTGGCGTCCAACTTGGTTTAAAGAGGGAGAGCCACTCATTTGCAAGAGGCAGCAAGCCACAGGCACAAGTCTGTGTCCCCGCCCCCGCCCCCACCCCCATGCTCTGCCATCTCACACACCCAGGTGGCAGGAAGGAAGGGCAGCCCCACCCTGTGGACAGCACCCAGCAGGCAGCACCCAGCCTTGGAAGGCTGTCCCTCTTTAAACCACAGCCCTGGTGCTCAAGGGGCACAGGCTTCTGTTCAAAGCCTTTAGACCTGAGACACGAGAAAAACTCCACGTGGTGGGCAGGATATTTCCTGCCAACCCCAAGTGTGGGCTGCACCCGGCCAGAGCAGAGGCCTGGAACCCAGAGCTGGGCCGGGGGGTCACTCGACATAGGGCCTAGGCCTGCTCTGTGGTGGCTCTGGTCTGTCCGGGCCCAGGAGCCCCAGGTGGGCGGTTTCTCTCAGTGCCTCACCTGAAGGCTAGAAACAGTGAGGCGGCGGGCATCGCCAGACGGAGAGGCCACAGGCACCACGAAGGGGCTGTCGGGGATGTGCTCCTCGTTGAACTTGACGGAGACTTCGTAGTCACCTGGGCAGGGAAAGAGCAAAAGACCAGCTCAGCAGCCTGGGTGGCCCTGGGACCTCCAGGTGAAGGGTGGAGGCCAGGCAGGGGTATTTGTACAACCCCTGGGTCCAATGCCCACCCCCAGGACCAACCTCCTCCAACCCCACCTCCTCCAGCCGGTTCCCAGTACCTGGCTCCTGGACCACATAAGCCACGCCACAGGAGCCATCCTTGCGGTCCTCAAAAGAGATCTCAGCCTTGCTGGGGCCCTCGACAGCAATGGCCAGGCCTCCGGCGCCAGCTTCCCGGGTCCAGATACTGAATTCAGCTGTGGGAGAAGTGCATCCTCACTGAAGTCTGCTCCACCAGCCTTGGCCCCCTCCAGGCATAGCCAAGATAGGCATGCCTGCCAGCTCCTTCTTCCACCCCCAACCCCATCCCTGCCAACGAAGGAGAGCAAACGCTCGGGGGTGAGCAGGCCTACCTGGTACTCCAGCTTCAGCCCTCTCCAGGCCAGGGCCCCCAGCTCGGACCTTGTGGGCTCCTCCTTCCCCTAGGGGCCCCACAGTGAATTGGAAGGGGCTCCCAGGCACGTGCTGGCCCTTGTACTTGACGCTGACTGTGTGCGTGCCCATCTCGGCAGGAACAAAGCGGATACAGTAGGTGTGGTTCTCCCCTTCCACGATCTCGGCCTCATGGCTCTTGCCTGATGGGCTGGTCACCTGGGCTGTCATGTCCTGGATGCTGATTTCTG